TAAAATGTGAATCTAACCACTACTATTATCTTTCAAGATCTTTGGAATAAATCCAAATTCCTGAGCCTGACTACAAAGCCCTCCTGGAGATCTGGTCCCCTGATCAGTGATATAACCTCACCTTCTGCCTGTCTCTAGCTAGAAACTTAGACTCTAACTTGTGGTTACCCAGGCACCTCTTTTCTTACACACCCTTCTCTGCCCTCCTCACCTGGCTATACCTCTTCATGCTTCAAGACTTAACTCAGATGCTTTTTCCAGCATGCTTTCCTTGCATCTCCACAGTGAGCTACAAGGAAGGCTGTGCTCTGTGCTCACATTCATCTTTCTGCACAACTCTCTACTTACCATGAAACATCGAAATGGTTTGACTGTGTGCCCTCTTTCTGTATTAGTTAGCTTTATGTCACTGTGAGCCAAATACCTGAAAAGAACCACGTAGAGGAGAAAAAGTTTATTCTGGATCATGGTTTCAGGAGTTCAGTCCTTGGTTGGCCAACTCCATTGCTCTGTCCAGAGGTGAGACAGATCATCATGGAAAAAAGGTATGGCAGAGGAGTGCCACCCAGTTCTTGACAGCCAGGAAGCAGAGAGAGCTTGAATGCAAGGAGGTGGGGATAATATCATCCCCCAGGGCACCCCCCAGTTACCTACTTCATCCAGCCACACCCTACTCCCTACAGTTACTACCCATTAGTCCACTCGAATGGATTAATGTCCTGATTAGGTTACGACTCTCACAATCTAAGAATTTCACCTCCGAACATTCCTTCATTGTCTCACACATAAGCTTTCAGGGGAACAACTCATATCCAAACCACAACATCTTCCCATCAGAAATATGTTCATTTCAAGGGCACAGACTATTTTATCTCTAAACCATGAGCACTTAGCACAAGACCTAGCTTCTTTCTCATTATGTTTCTAGAAAGGAATGATTAATTGTGTATCTCGAAACTCCTGACAGTGCAACATATTTGTGGCCCCTGATTGGAGATCTACTTTCATTAACAAAGGGAAGCACTAGAGTGTTTACCAAACTAATATACATTAACTGGCTGTTGTCCACATTTTCCACTGAATAAAAATCCCTGTGTCTTAAGGATCTTCGCTGTTCCTTGCATCATAATAGGCATTATGTGGGTAGACCAGTGGCCAGGCAGGACACCTGCCCTCATAGGGTTTGCTTTCTAGGCACACAAAGCTAAATATACATGCTATAAGAAAAGTCGTAGGCTTGAGTTTTAATGAGTAAAGACCAAATGCTCCCAATTGAGTTAGGATAAAAGACACTCCAAGTAACCTTGGAATATGGCCAAGATTTTAAAAATTAGAGATTGGGGAGAGGTGAAGAGGGAGGGGGAGATGATACATTCTGTCCAGAGGAATATCATAGGCAAAGAGATTAAAAAAAAAACTCTGAGCATATTTAGGTAATAAGAGTACCTGTGACTATTTGCAATCTGATCCTGAAATCAGTCTTTTCCACCCAGTACTCCCACCTCCACATTCCAGGCATCCCGATTCTCTTTAGCCTAATGGTTCACAGACTTGGGTGAGCCACAGAATAACTGAGTCTCACATCTTCAGTTCTCACACTGGATTTCAAATTCAGTGGGTTTAGCTGTGTAGATGCTAAGATTAAGGCCATGTTCTAGAACCACTGGGAAACTTCCCGGTTGGCAGCATCCTGAACAGGGTTGGGAGGTGGACCTTGGCACTTGCCCCCAGACTCTGGCCCTTTGGGCTCTGGAGGAACAACTGCCCTTGGAAACCACACCTACCACCCATCAGCAGTGTGGTCACGCCATGTAAGTGGCAGATTAGGCAGTGTTTCCCCAGCATCCTGGCAAACGAAAGACTAACTTAGACCATCTGGTTCTGTAACACCCTCCTACACCACTGCTTAAAAGCAGCCGAACATATTTTCTCTTACATTTTGTCAATAAAATATTGCTCCCCCAGGCTGTCGGCTTGCCATGTTCCCAGCCCTTCAGCAAATTCGGAGCAGTTAGTGGTGGCAGAAACAGGGGAGGACCGTGGGGCAGCCCTTTAGCCCTTCAGACTTTTGTTGCTGATGCTCCCTGACCCGCTCTTCCTGGGGCAGATTCTCTAAACTCAGACCTTAAAGTATTTTTTTTTTTAAAGTGGAACCAAAATGTATTGAGACCTTTCTTGGCTGCTGTCCCCTTTCTGTCCTGTTAATTTTGCTTTGCCTTATGACAGTGAAAAATCAATGTCTAGCATTTCCAACGGCCAGGTAGAGTGTGTACACATTTATTAAGATTAATTAAAAAGTAACAAATTGTAAAGTAATAACATTAACAACCAGTAGAAAAAGTGTAGACATTTTGACAGTCTTTTTGAATTTCATTAAAAGATGGTGGTGACAAAAACCCCAGAGACGATTTCTACTTTACTAAAGAAATAGGTCACAGATTCAATTACAGTCACTGAAGCATGGACTCAATCTATCATGGCAAATTAAGTACATTTTAGCAACCTACTTTCCTTTAAAAATTTTATAGACACTTTCAGTGGAAGAAGAAAGACTATAGAAAAACGAAAAAAAAAATTTGCAAAACCACATCCCGCCCTTACCGCCCCCCTTCCCAGGCTTTGAGTAAGCATTTGGCTTATTTGCTTTAGGTATAAGACAGAAAATCATTAAGAAATACTCAGCTTGCTCACAATTATTACTTTTCCCTCGTTCATGGTTTAATGATGCAGATTTGGAACTGGGAGTGGGAGAAGGCTCCAAATGAGAACCGCTATTCTTCAAAGGGGGGCTTTGTTCTACAGGCTCAGCCCTCCTTTCTCTTAAAAGAGGACTTTTGTACTTTATAGCTTTTATGAAAATTTTGCCTTAGACTCTTAGTAGATACCTTGTGTTCATTTTAGAAAAGATAAATAAGTAAATAAAGAGAAGTTTTCTGGCCCTTGGGTATGGTTTAGCCAAGTGCAAACACTGGGACAATGAAATACCCGTTTGCCCATAGTGAGATTGATTTCATGTTGACCACTGAAATTTATGAGGGGCCTCTTGCAGAGAAGCAGTACTGCTTCAACACTGCAATAGCAGCGAATGTAGAGAATGAGGGGTCCAGGACCTTCTCTTGCCCTTTGATAGGGAGGAACCTGGGGCAAGAACATTGCCATCCTAGGGAAAGAGTCTTAGGAATCCTGTGTGGCATGGCCAGTTTAGGTCTTGTTCCCAGAACATAGTGCTACCAAATCACCTACTCAGCATAGCGCTGGCATTGCTTAATCCAGTCTCACCTTTTCTTCCAGAACTCTTGACTAGCCTTCCCTCCATGCCTCTGTATAATCAGGAACAAGATAAGCAATTGCATTTGCTCCACAGACCAATGGTAGAGATGCCTCATGCATCCGTGAATGATCTTGTTGCTATTGTCCAATTCAACGAGAGCTTCTCTTCACCGGCCTACAGGTGGAAGCCTGGAAAACTGCATTTCTAATTTTAATGACAAAACCGCAGCTCCCTTGGGAATTCGGTTTAACATCAGCTCATAAGATGAAGATCTCATATGGTCAACATCACTCTTCAAACTATGGCAGATCCATAGGTATGCTCTTGCTTGGCAGGATGTGTGGGACAGTGAGTCAAGAGCCTATAGGTCTTCTTCCAGCCCTGGCTTCTTCAAACTATAGAGAGATAAAGTAAGGGTGGGCTGCTGGGTCTACCTGGCATCCTGGGAAAATCCCACTAGTGACACTGATCCTGGAAGGGGGCAGTGATTTCCTGGGAGGTGACCATATGGGAACAGAAAGGTAAAAAATTGGCAGCCAATAGAGGCTGCTCATTCTCCATGTACAGATGAGACCCAAGTTGGTGCTCTTCTGTAGCAGCTATCCCTGCCTTGAATGTGCTGAGGGCTGCCCTGCTGCCCACTGTGTTTAAGGTGGTGAGCTGGCTGCATTTCCTCTATTTACCCTTAAGCTAATTCCAGGTAGAGGTAAAGCCTAGTGTGTTTCCAGAGCTGTAACTTGTATCCACTGCACTGCTGATGCAAAATCCCTCAATACTCAGTTGCATTTATAAATTTATAATATGCACAATGGTTATAGCATGTAATAATTTTATACTTTATGTATACTTTCACATTTACTGATTTATGCTTTTTCAACTTTATGATGGTGCAAAAACGATAGATATTCAGTAGAAACTATACTTTGAGATTTGAGGAATTTTTTTTTTTTTTTGGTACTAGGGATCGAACCTAGGGGTGCTCAACCACTGAGCCACATCCCCAACCCCATCCCTTTTTATATTTTATTTTGAGACAGGTATTGCTAATTTTCTTAGAATTTTGCTAAGTTGCTGAATTGTGATCCTCCTACCTCAGCTTCCCCACCCTTTGGGATTACAGGTTAGCACCACTGTGCTGATGAAATTTGAGTTTTGATCTTTTCCTGGGTTCATGTGATGCAGGACTGATGGTCTCTCATGAGGCTGGTCAGTGGCAGCTCCCGGTGACCAGGGGACATGATCCATACTCTATGGTGTAGTGTGTTGCTAAGCTATGGTACCAGTTCAGTCAGCTAAGTGTAGTAAGTGCATTTTGGACTTATGATATTTTCAGGTTAGGATGGGTTTAACATGACATAATCCAATTGTAAATTGATAAGCAAATATGTATTTTGAATTACACTCAGCTCAGCCAGTATCTTGCAATGAAAGCTCCCAAGGAACTGAGACCAAAAAAGAGCTGTTCCCATCTCAAGTTCACTTGCCAAGTATGGAAAGTGCGTGCAGTATATTTAAATCAAGGTCCTGTCCTCACATGTTCTGGTTTAACTCATTTGAAGTGGGCCAAGTATTGGTAGTTAATTTTCAAGTTTTATCAGGTGATGCTAATGTATAGCACCGTCTAGTATCATTGAGTTAAGTAGTTTTTCTTTCTCATTTTATATTTGTATAATTTAAAATCACTTTCAATGTGACTTCCTTTTTTTTCTTCTTCTTCTCTGTCATTCAGGGAGCAGACAACTTCCAAAACTATCCTTGTTTGTGGAGAAGTATTCTTTACCATTGAAGAGACAAAGATGGTGCTGAGCCTGGTGGATCCCCACAGGGGCCTTGGAGTGTACCTACACATTCCCAAAACTGACAAAGCAGACAGGAAGTGAGGCTGCCCAGAAGAGCAAGTGCTTAGCTTTGCAACCTTCAAGATGATTTTAAACCTCAGAGGTCAATGCTGATAAGGTGAGCACTTGAGATCAATGCTGAGCAATAGGAGGTCAAGAACTGGTGGGAAGATCTCTGGAAATAAGTGAGAGACAACTCACAACCTTGGGTAAAAGGCATCTCTCCCTTGTTTGAGTGTTTAAAAAGGCACAATCAAATGGTGCACTAAGCTTAGCATCCCGGGGAGGTGGCATAGCAGGATGTTTGGGATTAGAGACCTGGTAGCTAATTTGCCTGTATTGAATACTCTACCACTTGCTAAGTGATTTTGAGCTGGATGCTTAGCCCCTATGCACCTCTCATTCATCGTCTGCAAAACAGAGACTATATTCACATCCACTTCACAGGGTTATTCCCAAGATCAAGTTAGTTAGTGTGTGTAAGTTGCTTGGAGTATGTGCTGCTTTCAGAAATGTCACCATCCTTATATGTACCATCCTAGGCATTGGGCAGAATAGTTCAGAATAGTTCAGTTGGCTCATTTCTTTGTCTTCAGTTACTGTGTGAGTCAGATTTCCATCACTATGACAAAAAGCTGAGATAAATAAACTTAATAAGAAAAAAACAACCTTTGTCATGGTTTCAGATGTTTCAGTGCACACAGGGTCTGTTGACTCCATGGACTTTGGGAGACCTTGGCGAAGCAGAGCATCATGGCAGGGAGCATGTGGTAGAGCACAGCTGCTCACCTCCTGCTGGCCGGGTAGCCAAGAGTAACAGGAAGGGGTCAGGCTCCCAAGAGCTCCCTTAAGGGCACTGTCCCTAATGACCAAACTTCCTTCCACTAGATCCTCCCAGTAGCGCCACAGGCTGGGGTCCAAGTTTTCATTGTGCAGCCCTTTGGGACACATTCAAGATTCAAACTATGGCAATTACATTCTCCTGTCCTAGCTTCGATGATAGGAGAGCAACAGATGTATTTCAGGAAAAACTATTGATATCCATCCATAATAATTCCTTACTAACTCACCAGAGTAACATGGAATTAGAACCCCAAGACCTATCCCATTCTACTTCCTGTAGGTGAATTTGCTCAAGTTGCTTTGTGAATTCCAGTTTCATTAAGTGCAAACATGGAAATTCTCAATTTTCCTTGCATCTTCTACTGGGATTCTCCTTAAAGCCTTATGAAACAAATTCTTTGTGTTTATGTTCTATGTATTTGAGAGAATTTCTCATAACTCATTGTATTTAAGCCTCTTGCTCAACAGTTGAGAAAGATATAATTGTTTGTAATTTACAGATGAAGAAATGGAGTTCAAGATGTTCATAGGACCACTGTGCTGGTTAAGTGGTGAGTACTTAAAGTTCCCAAGTTCAGCAGTATCTCTATTAGACCCTATGGGCATTGTTTTAGATAAATGGTACATGCAAACATGCTTCCAGAGATGTAGCATATGATATAAATAGTATGTTGTGCTTAATTTGGCAATTGTCACTCTGGTATTATAAAGAGAAAGGTAACCTGGGATTGACAAGCTTCAGCCATGAGTCAGTCACTCATCACTCATTAGTACTGAATCTGGTACCCAAACAGTGACGAAATCCTGATATCTAGTGTTGGCTTAGGATGGATATCATACTATTGATTTATTTTATCATTTACCCTCTTTTTTTGCTGATTTTAACTTTAGAGTGACACATTAAGGATCTATTAACAGTGATCTTTATCCACGTGGACACTAATTTATTGATAAAACACTGAATAAGAGCTGGGGTCAGGGGTAGAAGGAAGAACTCTGCAAAGTAGACGAACCAGAGTTTCTTGCTTGAGTTACTGCCTTCCATCTGAGCCTCATTCTGCCTTCCTCTGTTCCTGCTCCCTGAGAAGCTCAACTATCTCTTGATGAACTTGGCATAATATCTGTGCACAGCTGGACTGCAATATGGCTTGAGAAGAAGTACACTCACAGCCTGTGGTGTTAGATGAGCTTCAATTTGTTCAAACGACTCGCTGTGTCAGTCTGACTCCAGGCATCAGTGTGAAAAATGGGAAATTTAGTTACCTATATAGATAGTAATAGCAACAGTCATACCTTGAAATTTTGTAATATTTTTCAAGTTGCTACACACATGCACGTAAGGTTTCAGGCAATTCCTTCAACTGTTGGGCGAAATAAGCAGGATGACTATTAGGATAGAGTAAATAAACCTGAGACTCAGGGAATTTTGGACTCCTCTTATCCTACAGCTGATCAGGGACAGACATGTGCCTTTCTTGACTCTGTCCTTTTGTGTGGACATTCTTCTACCTGCCCGGAACTGCTGCCATATTCTTTTCCCTAGAAATAGCCTTCCCTTTTTATTTTGGCTACTCCTGTGCTCTCAACTACAAACACTGGTTTCCTGTGGCAATGTGCTCACCAGGCCCTATTCCCCTGACCAGCCTTGATTGATACAGGGTTGGACATGGGAACCAATGTCAGCCATTGAACGTTTTGAATAGGAAATAGAATGTTTTGCATAGGAAATAGGAGATAGAATCAAGACTTTTCCAGTAATGGAAGCTTAGGCAGACATGTCCTGTGTTGAACAAGCTGGCTTGCAGGAGAACAGTGGAGCCGACATCAGAGAATCAGAGCTGGGGACACAGGGAGAACTGGTGGCACTGGAATCAGTGGTTCCTATAGTTCCTAAGATGGCAGGCATTGTCCCTTCTCCCCTAAGTTTCTTTAAGCTGGGGTTTCCTGTCATTTATGTCTCAAAAGTGGGTACCAACACAGTCTCATTTTTCTAAATTAATACAATGACATAATTTAACCCTAAAAATCATCTGAGTTTATGTCAAAAAAAGTCCTGTTTCCCATGTCTGTCCTTGCTCAGTAGTTGCTTAATTAATTCATTGAAACGGTTGTATGAGATTCAGAAAGTTGAATAAGACTGCTAATTAACTAGGCAGGTTATAGCTACCTAAGGTCTCATGGTAGAAATTGGCTCATACATAGATAAGTGATCCTCCACCCTCCACACCAAAATTAGTGGTATTCAAAACCATGAAGATCATGGGTTACAACTTCACGTAAGGAATATAATTATAGTCCTGAACAGATTTGAATGAGATCGTATTTCTTGGCTTTTCTAATCATGATTACAAATCCTTACTCTGTAGAAGTATTTTTGATTTGGGCCCAGAATATGGAGACAAAGAGACATGTGATGTAGTTCACTAAAGGTTAAAAATTTGGGCTCTGACATTTACCCTCTGGGTAACTTTAGGCCCATTTCTTCTCCTAATTCATCTGTAAAATTTGAGATAATAATAGACTCACTTCCTAAGGTTCAAGAGAAACTAAAAGAGTCAATATTTGTAAAATGCTTAAAATAGTATTTATGATATAATCTTTCTACATAAAATAGGCGATTGTTATTATTATTATTCAGCTTTTTATTTTGCAATTATTATAAGCAAATCCTTTCAAGTTGTACTTGTACAAGTGTACACCAGGTATCACTCATGCAATTTGTCAAGAGAAACAAATGGGGTCTCTAAAGAGAAGAACCTTTCCGTACACTTCTCAGGAGTTAAAAGTTGCTGAAAAACAGTTGATAAAATTTAAATTTAAAATGATTCTTTGGCAAGAAGATTCATGATGCTACTAAACAGAAGAATGTTAGAGAAAGAGAGATGTAGACAAGGAGTTCCTGAAACGTCCATGCTTAAGAAAAGGATATTTCTAAGAGTTAGGACTTAAGCATGTGATTATGAGGTTGGAAAATTCTTTTTAGTTTGAGCTACCTTTGAGAGCAAAGGTTAACAACTTGAAGGTAGGGACTCACATTTGTTTGTATCCCCAGCACTTAGCGAAGTACCTGATTCCATGTCATGTTAAATATGAAAACGTCTTTCATTTTTGAATTTCATATTTTGCTATCACAGGATACTGGTAGCAGAGTTCACTAGTGGAACTGAGATGATAGGAATGACAGCCTGACTCTGATGTAGTTAACTAAAGATTTTTCATGCCTGGGAAGGGAAAAGGAGGAAGTCTTCACATCATTTTTTTTTTTCCCCTGAGAGCCCAGAAACATTATAGGTACACAAAAGGAGTATCTTATAGTATAACTTCAGCTACTAAGAAAATAATCAGAGCCAATTATTTTTATAAGAGAAAAGTGATTACCATTGAGGTTAAAAGTGAGAGAAAATATTTTTGTGCATTAAGAATTATATGTCTTCAAATTTTTTGCTCTTTGTATAATTCCTTTATATCCAACTCTAATAGTAAGTGACTGCCATTTCTATAAAATTGCATGTTTTATTCAGAAAAAAACACTAATACTTGCTCTGTGGGCTGATACTCAACAAGCCACATCCAAGAAAATGTTTCTATCTACTGTACACTCACCGTTTTTGAGGTAGGGCTTCCTAATAATATCCATGTGTATGTCACAAATGGCATCACAAAGGAAATGAGTTTGTGTTTTCTCTTGAATCCAGCACTATTAGGCAATGATAGGCATTACATTTCAGAATTTTTAGCTCATAATATACTTATTTACAGTAATATATATGTGTGTGTGTGTGTGTGTGTGTGTGTGTGTGTATTTTAGATTTTAGATTTTTGACTGAAAAATTCTTAATGGTTTCCTCTACAAATGGAGCCAATTACCCAATGCTGAAAACAGGCATTTGGATTCATATATACAATTTAGGATGTGCAAAAATTTCAGCATGCACTGTGTGGAATGTATTAGTCGAACTTCTGAGAGATTTGAGATTGGTGGAGTAGAGATAATGGGAGAGGGGTGCATGTAAACTGACACCCATTTTGGAAAAACCAATGTAGATTCTGGCTTTTGGCTATTGTGTCTTCCTTACATAGAAACTTAAAACTACAAAGAGAAACGTAGGCCGTGTAATTCTTGAATTTGTGGATATTTACTTTAACAAAGCTTTTTATGCATGTTATTGCCTTTCATTTTAACAAAATCCTTCGAGGAAAGTAGGTCTTACCACCCCAAACACTTGTACTAATGAGGAAATTGTGGCTTGGAGAAATAAGTGGTTGGGGAGGCAGAATATGCTCAGAGGTTTAATTGGATAACCCTTTTCCTCATCGATGTTTATACAAAGGACCTAGCAGGTTTCCAAACCAAATGGGTATTTTAAGTTCTTGGTATTTTTTCCCACTTGTGGCCTCTCAACACTTACCTACTGTAGAAGTCTGGGCTCTCCGGGGGGTGCTAGGCAATCCCCTGCTTTTTAGTCACCAGGTATCACTCATGCAATGCCTGTACTTTGGGCTTTTAAATTTTCTAAAGTTAATGCCTAAGACCTTCTTCAGAATATTTTCCCAGTGGTTTATTACTCTTTTATGATTATACATTGAACAAGTTTGATCTGGAATTTTTTATGAATTAAAAAAAATAGCACATTAAAATTTGTTAAAGTCTAGAAAAAGCAGATTTCTCTTATGATTTCCTAGAAACTATTTTTTTTTCTTTTGACTTTCCTTATGGACAATTTAGACCATTCACTATTCTTATGAACAAGGATTTAGATGAGATTGGCTTCAGTGTTGAGATGGGGATTAGATTAAACCTATAAACCACACCTATACTCTCAGCTGAGATTAAAAGGAACCCATGACCCAGTGTGAGGTGATGAGAGGGTGAGACACAGGTGAGGAAATTTTCAGGAGAGGCACCATTTTCTCATGAACAATATGGTGCAGGGGGACCATGTGAAATCTGGAGGTGCTCAGGTTTATCTTGTTACCACAGGGAGAGAGTTTGGAACCATTGAAGCTACTGGGTGATGCTGGTAGATGAACCCAAGACTTTAAGGACTTGGTCCATGATGACATCCTCTGAGCAACCTAGACTTCTGAATTTTTCTTATGTGAGCTAATATTTTATTTGGATTGTTCAAGCTAGTTTGAATGGGCTTCCTGGCTCATTTACGTGTGTATTTGGCCCTGATACAAGTACATGAATAAGCCCTGGTATAAGTACAGGGATAAGCTCCCTGGATAAGTCCTTTCTTCCTTTTCTGTCTTTCACCACTCCTGCCCTCGGAGTTTGAGAACTGCAGCCTGAAGACCTATATCCATGCCTATCTCCAGCTGTTTCCTCCTGTGCATACTTGAATAAGTAAATATTCCATATTGCATACTTGTGAGCAATTGATGATACAAAATAATATTTAGCCTACAAGGCTGTTGGGAGAGTCAAATGAGATCATGATTATAAAAATACCACACAAATATTAATTATCCTTCTAAAGAGTGCTAATTTAATGTAGAAACTACCGTCAAGCCCATTTCGCCCAAGTTCTTTCCAGAGATAAATTTA